ATTCTCGACGGAGTACTCGACCCTTGGGTATGGTCGACTAAACCGCCGTTGAGTGTGAGCGAGTTCAAAGATTGAGTTCCGAGTTATACTAATGAACGTTTATGAAAAGACCATAGATACCATCTTAACCGATACACAGAATGTGTTCAACGGGTTCGCCGGGTATTGCGCCGACGCTGGTCCCGCAAGATGCGCAATCGCGCAAAACGGGACATCTGCAGATGATATTCTCGCCTGGACGTTGGATTTAATCAAAGTGAGTAATCGTGATATAACCATGAGATATGTAAACTCTAATCTTGGATCTAGCTCGCCTACGATCATACAAAGACTACAGGCGGAACAGTGATTACATCCGGAGTACTTCGTGGTACGTACCATCAGACTGTCTCGGTCAATTCGTCTCATCCTAGCATAGCACAAATTTGGGCCGGCATGTATCGACCGAGCGGCTGGAAAGCATTTGCACAGTTTTTACGGGATACCTCGGGTGCACTGCGCAACTCGACTATCCCGACGGCCAACTCTACCTTAATCAAAAAAGCTATCATCCCACGAGATATTTTGGGCCTGACGCCAAGGGCTGAACCCGGTGATACCGACCAGTCAAACCCGGACCTGGACTTCTCGGCCCAAGCCATCGTATGCTCTGACTCGATGGACGATTCGTACGTAGCGACTCAAGACGTGTTTAACTTTGAGGTCAACACAACCGACAAAAGAAGTAAACTCCGTGAGTGGGACTACATTTAATGATCAATACGTGAATGTGACGCCTGGTTATTTAGTGGGCTCAGTGACCTGGTTATTGGTAAGGTTAATTTACACGTCTAATTCTTTGCTTACAGACACATTGACTAGCCGGATGTGTATTGCCATCGATGGCCTGCCCGAGCCGTTGAACGTTACACTGGCCCTTTCAACAGAACGCTAGTAAACCCGATCCTAGTAATTGGTGAATCTATCTCATTCCGCAACATAGTTGAGTAATCATGAAATGTACATAGGCAATTACTTTGACCCAGTGACTCCATTGGCTTCTGCGGAGCTGGTAGCCAGCACATTTGGTCAATCAGCGGTTCTTTTGAAGCGGAACGCCTACGGGGTAAATAGACGTCATTCCTCGGTGTTTCACATAGTCTAACATGTGTTGCAGCATACATCTCTTGGCACGCACTCAAACTGGTAAACCATCCACCTCGCCCTAGAATGAGCTATTCTGATGCGTTTCGTTTCAGTACTCAGGTTGTTGTAACCCAGTATCTCAGCTTCAACAAATTACCTTCAAACGGACACGTATGCGAGGTACGTTTGTCCGGCATTGGACATGAGCTACCGTGTCTGTATATGCGTCTAACTCATATTCTTTCTACTATATTTAGATAGATATGGTCTTCTTTTGACGCTCTATACATCTTAAGAATACATCCGCTGAATATTTTGAACCTTGTGTGCGCTAGCGTACCAGATTCGTCATCGGCGACTTAGCCAAGCGGTCTAAGGCGCCAGACTAAGGCCAAGTGGCTGCTATCTGGTTCTTCGGAGCGCGAGTTCGAATCTCGCAGTCGTCAGGTTTTGCCATTTTCGGGTCGTTCGCCTGGGTGGAAGCCCGTATTGTCACGTGTAAATTTACACAAGCGGATCTCATGACTCTAGTTCCGCAGATATTGATGTCGTAGCTCTACAAGCGCAAAAGTCCTTTATCATCCTCCGGATGTCTGTTAGCGCACTCGGCTCAGGCGGTAAAAGCTAACGTTTGCTGGCCTGATACGAGATGCCGTACTCCGGCTGTTGCGAGCTCCCAACTTGAGGAATAAACAACCAGAAGCTCAGTATGGAACCAAAGGATGAGGAAGTTAAATATGATCTGTAGTAGTCG